TTTTAAAACAAGCAAACAGGAAAGACGAAGTATGTTGACATAACAACTGCATAATGAAGGTTTGTTTACAGCGTTTTTACACTTTCAGGTTGTATTTTCAGTGAGAGTACAGCAGTGACTTTGTATTCCTTCAAATCTTTTTCCGCAAAGTTCACATTATTGCTGTTTCTTTCGGTGGATCCTTTTATGATAATTAAATGCGCCACGAGAAGTGAAGACCTTCCCGCACTGCTCGCAGGAGAAAAGCATTTCTTTTGTGTGGCGGTTCCTGTGCACCTTTAAAGTATCTATTTGAGTGAAACTCTTCCCACACTCCCCACAGCTGTACGGTTTCGTTCCAGTGTGGATGCGTTCATGTGCTGTGCGGTTACCCTGTGAACTAAAAGTCTTGTCGCAGTGTCTGCACTTGTATGGTTTTTCTCCAGTGTGAATACGTGTGTGGCGTCTCAGGTGTTGCCTCAAGCTGAATCTTCTCCCACACTGGTCACATCTGTGTGATTTCTCCCCGGTATGCATAACAACATGCCTTCTAAGGTTAGATGATGAAGAGAAATCTTTACCGCACTGCTCACAGGAGAAAATCATTTCTTTTGTGTGGATGTTCTTGTGGACCTTTAAATTATATAGTAGAGTGAAACTCCTTCCACACTCCACACAGGTGAACGGTTTCACCCCAGTGCGGATGCGCTGGTGATAGACAAGACTCGAAAGCCATGAAAAACTTTTCCCGCACTCACTGCAGCTGTAGGGCTTTTCTCCTGTGTGAACCCTCTGATGATTCTTTAATTCTCCTTGGGTCACAAACCCTTTGTCACATTGCTGACAATGGTGCGGTCTCTCTCCAGTGTGATACCATTGAATGTGAGTCGATAAGTTTCTCAATGAGATAAATTCACTGCCGCACTCCTGACACATATGTGGTTTTTCTCCACTGTGCGTTTTCTTATGAACATTTAGCGTGCGTACTGTTTTGTATGTTTTCTCACACTGATCACAGCTGTACAGTCTTTCTTCAGTGTGACTTTTTTGATGACTCTTTAGTTGCTTCAGGTTGTGGAAAGCCTTCTGGCATTGCTGACATCTGTGTTTTTTCCGCATTTCTTTGCCGGTCTTGTCCTAATTCAACAGAAAAACAAAAACAGATTATAACTCAGGTACTGGCAACATGGTGACACTTCCAGAAGTCAGCAGGGCTCTAGACTAACTTTTTGCCATGGTTGCACTGGTGCGCCTGCACCATTGGTGGAGAGGGCGGTAGCTTACTGGGCTTAAGCCCGGGTTGTTTTTTCAGAAACCCGGGGTCTTTTGGAGTGTAATTTTTTTCATAGGAGAAGCTGTTGCGAGTTTGCTGTAGGAGAAGCGCAGACAGGCAGACGGAGGAGAGCTTAAGTTTGACCAGGTACCAAAGCCAATCATTCGTACTGTACAAATAATGTAAATATGACGGTGTATCACGAACAGTGTTGGGTAAGTTACTTTAAAATAGTAACTTAGTTACATTACTAGTTACTTCTCTCAAAAGTAACTCAG